AGATGACCACAGAGTAGCTGCTCAGTGCAGAGACACTCTGTTCTTGGAGAGGCAATGATAGTTACAGCCCATCTCTTCTGGATGCTTTGCGCAAATCCATCTTTCCAAAACTTTTATCCACGTCATTCAAACAATGCCAGTGGAAGTACACTGAAAAAATACATTTGAAACTTTTAAACAAAGAGGACCCAAACCTCCTCGCTCCTCCTTACCCATATGTCAGACCTGCTTGAGAGCTTGTCACACAAGTATTAATGAGACAGCAGCATTTTTGAGATGTTACTGTCAGCTGGGAAAGCTTATTAAACTACAGCAGCATCGAGAAGAGTATGTGTGAAACTCAAGGTAGTCAAAATAAGCTTTAAATTCTGCTGCATTGGAATAAGAAGATGGAAGGAAAACCATTCACATTTATTTGTTATGAAAACTTATTCTGAAATTTTCATATTTGAAACAAAATTCTGAAGTACTAAATCAAAGACATGTTATCAGTTTATTTTAAAAAAAAGTTTTAATTCACATTTGCCTTTTCAAGATCTTCTTCAAATCATAACAAACTGGTGTGCCGTTTGGTGAAAATGGAAATTTGACTTTTGTTGTGCCTAACTCATGAATGTTCTCCTCTTCCAACTCAAACACAAGGTGGAAAGTACCTTGGGCTTTTTATCCACTACCTGACTTCAATGTAACAGACCTAATTAGTTCTCATGTCAGTCAGTGGTGTTCTGTGTGTTCTGTGTGATACATACACATTATTAATTTTGTCCAGCTATGTCCCAAACAAAACCACCAGAACCTTAATTTGATATTGACTTTAGGACTCTTCTTAGCACACTTATTTAGTAGCACAGAAAAAAATGTGCCTGATTTATATTCCAACTGTGAATAATAAATTATGTCTCAGTAGGAAGAAGAGCTCCACAGCACAAATAGACTGACAAAACAAATATGCCAGTTGTGGATACCACAATTAATTTTCAAATTATTTTGAAGAGTGCTAATGATTCTTTCACCTGATCTAGTGATTAAAGAAGTGATCTGCAAAAAATTTCCTTTCAAAAGAGCAGCTATGTAGTTCATACAACAGAAAAAAAATGGTGTGGTTTCAATACATTCATCAGCAGGACTTCTCAAGATAAATAGTAGCATGAAATAGGAACTACCTTCTTTAGCTTTAATTTAGGTTTGCACTTGGCGTAATGTAAAATTAAGGTTATGAATGAACGCTTCCTAGAAAGCAAAAAAGCTAACAAAAATTTATTTTTGTTGCAAGTCCAAACAACTAGTATCTACATTTCAGCAACGTGGACGTAACTAGTAGCATTTGAGATAGAACACGGTGATGGGAAGAAAAATGGAACATAACAAACTTGACCATGTGTTTGCCAAGCAGGGGCAAAACCTGGCATCTTCAGTGAATGGAAATAGTTCCCTTCTAACTTTGTAAGGGGGAACTCGTGTTTTTGCAACCCAAGCCATATTAGATGCTGAGCAACACTAAAGCCAGCAGAGCCTAGAGCCAACAGAGAAAACATGAAAAGGTGGCCTTGGGCACTGGAAAAGGAGATGGTAAGACAGGGTTTACTGAGAACCACTCTTTGTCCCTGGACACAAATAGGACTCCAGCAGCTCTCGAAGTCCTTCAAGCTTCTACTCCTCAAAATTACACAGAATGATAGAACTGGAATATGATTTGGCTTTCCAGGCAAAATAATCTCCCACAGGACCCAGAACAGCAGCATCTTGGAGGGTCTGCAGCCAGGAGCTGTGGACAAAATAAGCTGTTATCAGAAGATTTTGCATTTCAGACTTCTTATATCAGTTTCACTGACTGCTTGTCACACCCTCTCCTTTCCCCAGCACCCAAGTGCTCTGCAGTCTCCTCTGAGCTCTTCCACTCTAGAACTCCTACTTCCTTAACTCCAACCCAAACTAAAACCAAAGCTTATTTACCACAGCACAAACATACTGCATGCATGCGTGACTTCTTCCTCTGCTCATAACATTACATCCACCCTCTTCCCTTTTGCATGTCCCACCTGATGCATGGTTTGAAGTAGTATTTAAGTACAGAGTGGGCTGATTTCTATTAAGTCTTGATGTAGCACTGCAATATTTCTCCTCACTGTCTTGATACACGTGACGGAAAAAAAAGGATGGTTACTAAACAGGTCCCTCTACAGAGATCTGAAAGCCTGCAGGCTTCCATTTCTTGGTCTGAGATTTCTCAGGAAAAGGAACATATAAAATATGTAATGACATCTTCTTCTAGGAGGAATGCCATGTTTTTTATAGATCACAGTCTTGGATGCCTCTGGTGCAATACAAGATTTGACTCTGGCAAATTATTCCCTGATGGCAAATTGCACTGAAATAACTCCAGATAAAATATTATGTGGGTTTTTTTTTTCTTTTATATCAGAAAGTCTCCACAAATTGAAGCAAAAACCCTCCAACAGATAAATCAGCTGATAATGAGGTATTTCTGTTTATAGTAACCTGCATACAGAAGGTTTTTGTAGGATTTGTTCCAACACAGCCTACTAGAAAGATATCAGCCTGACATCTGGGAAAGCAGCGCTCAGTTAGCAGCTGTAGGATCCTTTCATGTTTGACCAGGACTGCCCATGCAATTGTCCACTGAAGATACAGTTCAATTTTTATAATCTACCAGCACAACTTGCTGTTACCAGCACATGTATTAGTGAATACCACTTCAGTCACAAAAATATGAATTGTTATCATACCCACATGTAACCTACACAGTATACCCCTTATACTACATGGCATAATCAAGTAGGGAATGAGAAAAGATGTACAAACAAGGAAAATTACTTGGTTGAATGCATTTCATTTCCTAAATACATGCACAAAATAAAATTAAAAATAACTGCCATCATAACTTTACTGCATCCTTGTTACACTACTACATACTTCCCCTTTGGGCTTAATGTTGCAGGAAAATGGCTTTCACTGCAGCAGGGCAGGTTAGACTGGCGTATCACTAAATATTTACAGCCAAGTATGAAAAATAACCAATAGAAAATATGAAACAACTTTTCTTCATCCAGTAACTGAATGTGACGGTTTCTGTGGTGATTTTAATGAGATGCAACCACTTAGTATACACAGGCTGTCTACACGGAGAAACTGACCACCAGTGCAGCTCTTCCAGCATAACTACTTCACAACAGCTATTCTGGGAGAGCCCTTTTCACTCTGTTTCCTTTGTTCTTGCACAGTGTCTCCACATGGAAGAAATTATTGCTGAACAGCCGAAGTAAATCAGAACAATTACCACAGTAAAATGATATTTTTATTTTATTATATTATTGACTGAAAAGGCACCTATTTTCCTCTTTCAATTCTATGTATTTCCTCTTTTAGTTTTACATTTCACTGGTCAGAAATACAGTTTTGTAGAGTGTTGCACCAAGCATAATTCATCATTATCACTGCAGTGAAGTGACTGACTTGATTCTCATCTCAGCCATGTGCATTTTCATGGTGAGTAAAATAAGTAGAGATGTCCAAGGGCATGTGAAAAGAATCAGTCTACAGCTCCACACTGATTCGAGCTAAGAGGAAAAATAGAAAACTGCAACTTTTTTTTTTTACATAAATATACACCAGCTATACGAGCTGCTGTTCAAGTTTCCCTCTGCTGTTGCTCAATCAGATCTGCTTAGAATTTGCACTTACTGCCAGTTTAACCCTAAACACAGTCCTCCATAATTAACTTCAACTTATAGAATAGTTGGGGTTGGAAGCGGCCTTAAAGATGATCTAATTCCAGCCCCCCTGCCATCAGCAGGGACACCTTCCACTAGACCAGGTTGCTCAAAGCCTCATCCAGCCTGGCTTTGAACACTTCCAGGGAGGGGGCATCCACAGCTTCTCTGGGCAACATGTTCCAGTGTCTGACCACCCTCACAGTAAAGAATTTCTTCCTCATATCTAATCTAAACCTCCCCTCTTCCAGTTTAGAGCCATCACCCCTTGTTCTATCACTACCTGCCTTTGTCAAAAGTCCTTCCCCAGCCTTCCTGTAGCCCCTTCAGGTACTGGAAGGCCGCTATAAGGTCTCCCTGGAGCCTTCTCTTCTCCAGGCTGAACAGCCCAAACACTCTCAGTCTGTCCTCATAGGAGAGGTGCTCCAGCCTTCGGATCATCCTGGTGGCCCTCATCTGCACTTTCTCCAGCAGGTCCATGTCCTTGTGTTGGTGGTCCCAGAACTGGACACAGTACTCCAGATGGGGTGTCACAAAAGCAGAGTAGAGGGGCATTAACTTGATGCTAAGGAAACATTTCCTTCTACCACTGTGCATGTTCTTTGAGCCTGAGAAGTATGAAAGTTCTCAGTGTCATAAGAATGGTGTTCCTGCTCTAGTTTACGTGATGAATTACTACTGGCCACATGACACTACACCTTCTGTTGACAGACTAGCTACAGTTCACCCAGAACACAGGACTGAACATCCAGGACTGGGATACTGTGAAGCAAATCCAATCAGATCTGAACCTTAAGAGACACAATTTAAATGAACTTAGTGAAAAGGAACACAAAACAAACAGTACATTCAATTTCAGTTTATATCAAAGCAGAAAATTTGCAGCTGTTGCCCAAAAGACATAGCAGCTGAAACACATGACAGGAACATCTCCTTGCATGCAGAAACAGAATGTCATCTGGCAAATCACTATTCTGTGGTTTGGAAGTCATCTCCTCTAACAATAAAAACCCTAAGAAAAGACTCTTGGGATTACCACTAATTAGAAAGACAATTCAAGACTGTAGGACTAACACAACTTTGTCAGTGCTCCATGGTGAAGCATCATAGAAGAAATCACTTGCAAACCACCCACAGCAAGCAAGAAAACATGCAATATGCTTGCACTGCAACACCAAGGTTCCTGTATTTTTGAATTGAACATGTTTCAGAAAAAAAATGAGTTGTAAATCATTAACCAACAAAAATACCCACAACTCAGGCCAACAGTTTAATTAACTTTAGAGTTTATTCCAAAATTACTATTCCTTTCATTAACAGCAATAGAATAATTTTCAAGATCATAACTCATGGCTTGAAACAAAAATTGAAAGCAATTACATACTCACTCCTGAAATACAATGTCAAGTTTTATTGACCTTGAAAGTATACAAAGAAAGTCCTTATTTCCTTTGGGTGAACAGTTACCATACAGTTTTCTGAGATCTCCGTATTGTTGGAGAATCCTGTAAAACACAAACATTGGTAATTTATTTAAGAAGCAGCTTTACCCAAATGTACATATTATTCTATCTCAGCAGTTTTAGCTCATCCCTTCCTTGAAAACTGGTCTCCTTAAAGGAGAGGAAAAGCAGATTCTCCTCCTTAAATCTATAAGTAGTACGGAACCTAAGATGCACCCATTCATAATACTAAAATATACAAAAATCCATCTACTTTTCACACACTGACTCATAGAGAAAATGTGAATGACTGCCCAGTCAGGCACCTTTTCTTCATCATGAGTACACAGCAAGCAAGTTCCTAGCTGCAGATCAAGAAGAGTTCTAAGCCCACATCTAGCCCAGCCCAAAACCTCTGCATGCTTTTTACAAGGCATATAATGGACATAAGTGACAGTAAGGACAATGTCCAAGCAACTAACTGGAATGAGAAATGAAATGAGGTCACCCACAGCATTTGACTTGAGTGTCAGCCCTAACTTGAATCATATCCACACTGTCCTTTAAGCTGATTACAGTGGGGATTTTTAACTGCAGCTGTCTGTTTTTTCTGCAGCACAGGCTTAAGCTTAGATTAACACAACTCATTAGCATCTAACAAAATCAATCTGTGTCACAAGTGTGAATTCATAAAGTAGCCATTTCTATTTGGACAAAGATGAGTCCAGAAAGATTTCAAGCTTTTTAACACTTTTAAGCAAAACAAGCCACCAGAAAAATACAGCAGTCTAGTACTTGCAGGGAATCTTTGCTAAATGTTACTGCTTGGTGGCTCCCCCAGATACTAGGTCTGTCATACAGAAGAACAATACATTGTTTTTAATCTTGCAAATATTTTTATATTTTTAATTAGAACATTCATCAAGCTTCAACAGTCAACAACAATGCAGACATGAGTTACCTTATTCCACCTACCTTTGCTTGGATATTGTGCAGTCTTCCATTTCCACCGCTTTAAAGTGTTTACATCCCAGGTGCCTGTGAGTGATCGCTCTTCCACTAGCATCACTGATCCTAATCCCTTTAGCAAAGACTGCGAATAAAGAAAACATAAGGAATCAAACCACAGTTTATTTAAAATAGCATCACAGTCACATGTCTAGTATACAGTTAGACCAGAGTAGAACTTTGATCTTTAGCATTATTATGTTAAGCAGAGCAGCATAGACTTTTAAAATCTGCTACGTCATGCAACACAAGGGCAACTACAGATTCACCAGGTTTCCAAATAAGAATCTGAGGTGCTGAGAGCTTCCTCTGTGTTGTAGCAAAGTTCAGAGCCTATTAATCTCTCCATTCAAGAGCTGTAACTCACATTACATTTAAAAAAATAAAACAAGAGACCACTACACCTTGTTCCCCATGTTTTTGTCATCACAATCAAAATTTCATATTTTAAAATAATAAACCTCTGCCATGTATTATAAAATAATCTACTTCTGTATGAAAGATCAAATAACCATGAAACTGAAAATACACAGTAATTGGAAGTGACCAAAGGTTCAACAACTCACAGAAATAAACTATACAGGAAAAAAAATGTTTGTTTCCTTTAATCCTGTCCACATTTAATTAACTATAGGTACAACTTGCAATAACTAAAGAAAGAGCAAAACAGATTCTCACTCTGCACTTGTAAAGGTACCGCAGGAAGTGTTATACAACCAGGAGCTCAACAGGACCAGTCCTACAGATGTTTATGCAGATCTTCACACTGTGCCTACAGCAATTTCATCTGAAGTAACAGCTTCTGCTTTGCAAAGCTGAGTCAAAATAAGACCTGCTTCTCTCTGAGGTTAAAGTTATACTAGTATTTTCATACCCATCTTTTGTGTAGTCTCTAGCACATGGGATGTTTCATTCCAGAACCAGTTCTCTATGGAAAAAAAAACACCTCAAGTGGTATTCTGTCTTGAAGGATTAAATTTACCTTCAGATTTACCATCACAGGTTGAGACAGTACAGGATCCTCTCCATCTTCATACAAGTGCCTAATTCTTAGCAGGACACGACTGAAGTCTGCATCACCTTGCTTCTGTTTACCTTTAAGAGAAAACAAAATGAAAACATTTTCTTACTTTAAAAATAAAACCAATTTTTCAACTTTTTCTTTTAGTTTTATACTCTCATAATTTGATCTTAATTCCCTGTTTTTTTAAATGAGGAAGAGGACTAACAGCAAGAAATACCCACGTCCCATTGTTGACAGAAACGACACTAAGAGGCATGATGAACTCATATTTTACTATTTGAGTAGAGCAATCATACAGTACAATTAACTTCCTTGACAGAGGAATTAAACACTTTAAATAAATAAAAGTACTAGCCATAGAAGATACAAAGAGAAGAAAGCCAGTGTAGCATCCAGCCACCCTTTTAAAAGCACCTACCCATGCGGATGCTGTGGACTTGCTCTGCATGATTAGAGCTGTATCTCCACCCTGGAATGCTCAGAGTCTGGAGATGAAGATTAGGTGGAACAGTTACTGCTGAACTGTGGACTGAATTCTGCTGAAGTTGTCGAGGTAGCTTTGGCTTCTGTCCTTCATGCAAAGTGAAACAAAGCAAACATCAAACATCCATCACACACACAAGCCTGGCTAGGGTGCTGTGGAAGGGTAAAGAGATTCTTGCTTTTTCTGCCAAGGCAGATGCAAAGCAGATGCTATGCTTTCTCCTCCAAGGCCTTTTGAGATACAAAAGTAGAAAGCAGCATGATTTTAACTGCTGAAGTATATTAGAGGTTTCCATAAAACAAATTTCATTGCAGCTGGAAGTTGCTATTCCACTATTAGGCTTCACTTTTAGTTAATAAGTAAAACAAATATTTTTAAATAACCCAAAAATTGTCATTAAGGACTCAACACCCAGGAAGCTGATATATGGTGCACTAGCTACTTTGCACTAATTCCCTGTGTGGACATTTTGTTCTCATTAGATGCTTTAAAATTTACTCTCCTCTGAAAGTAGAGATAAGTACATAACAAGAGAAACATTTCATACACTTGGACAACATCCATGTTTGAAATTAATGCAAAGTAATTAGTAGACTCTAAATCTGCATCCTAGCTCACTGTATACTAAGTTTGCCACACTGGAGGCTTGAAGTCTGCATTTACAAACCCAACAGCATAAATCAGAGCAAAATAAATAAGCCACTCAGATGCTAAAGATAGCACAGGAGATGGAATGAGTTACCTGATAATGCTCCAAACATTACTACTGGTCTATGTTCTAGTGCCAGACTGCTTGTCTGATACAAAATACTGGTGAGAGCCTTGGTTCCTAAAATAAGCCAAATCACGGGACGAACCACTGAAGAGTCATTCAAAGTGAGATTGTAATTCAGGTCCCACTGAAGGTTGTTCCATAGTCTCCTGTGAAGCATCACCTGTATTGGGAAGGTAAATATCACAACAGTAATCAGCCATCATGCTTTACTTATATTACCAGTAGCCATGAAATTATGTTCTCCTAGAAAAAGAATATTTTTATATGTTACCTCCACTTGCCCATTTCCTTGGCTTGAGACACCATGAGCTCTTTCTGCAAGCAGCGTCAGCCTTGTGGTATCATCTTCAATGTAGGCGGTCTGGACCATAGGATAATAGTTCTGAATACACAGAGTAAATCATGCAATGACAGTATTAACTTAGGTAACAGCAGTGGAGAACAAAGACAACACAATTGACTTTGGATTACACCTCTGTGCTTACCCGAGCCACTGTGTTATTCACATATGCCTTGAATGGTCTTTTCTGAATCTGATATCCATTGCTGTCAGTGTAGAGTAGCTGCCCAGTGTTCAAGCTTGTGCTTGTTCTTAGAACTGCTTCACGATTTAATTCCAAAGGCCCAACACTATATTCTTGCTCTATCCTATGGCAAAGCAACTTCCCATCGTAGCCTTCTGGTACCGTATACGTCTTGGTATACACTGCATATACGTAATCCTGAGCAGTAACATTACTATAAAATTGAGAGGGAAGATTGCAGAGTTTAGAAAGTGCAGCGCTTGACTGGTCATGTCAAGACTTGCAAATCATGCATGATGTCATCCTACACATAGACAACTGTCTTGCCTGGTTTCTATATATTTCATGTATATGTACAATTATTTTAAATTTCAATTTAATTTTCAAGTGTAAAGATATTCAGCTGGATTAAATGATATCCCACAATTTTCTTTAGTGTTGCAAGTGTAAAGAGGACTCTTGATTTGATTAGAGAGGCTCTGTTTTCTCAAAATTAACAAAAAATTTTAAAATAATTATGACTCCCTAAGCAACACATCTACATTCTACAGAATATAAGTATTTTTTCAATCTAGGCAACATTAATTTTGATCCAAGAATTGCACTGTTTTCCAAAGAACCTTCTCAACTTCAATCCTTGTACAATACCACTTAAAGAAAAAGGCTTCAATCAAATAACCAGATTTAAAAGAGGGTGAAGGAGTTATAGACTAATGCAAATTTAACACAGAAAAGTAGCTAGTTCATCAGTGTCCTTGTGTATGACTCATTTCTCCTTTCTCTAATTTGCTTGTAAGGAAGATATTCACAGCTATAAAAATCAACTATTATGTCCAAATTGCAGCTGTGTAAAGATGTTAGCTGCAATTTTCATTTAATTGTATGAAACCAGGATCCCAACAGAAGCTGCACTATAAAGCAAACCACAGAAGGTATCTCTGAACTATCTTCACCTCCCTCCTCGCAACAATATGTGCTATTTAAAGGAGGTGCTTCCTCAGCGCTACATTTAGCAGATGCACACTAGTTCTTTTATCTAAACCCAAAACAGGACACAGAGCTCACTGTTTACGAGTAACTACACAGAATTAATCTCATACATATCTACAGAGAATGAAACATTCCAGTGAAGTGAAGCTGTAATGGTGTTGTACCTGTAGAAATACTGCCGTATCTCTGTCATCAAGTTTCCAGAAACCACTTCTAATTCCACTGCTTTTGATACTGGAACAGCTGAAGCATTTGGGGCAAATAAGTAGTTATCTGAAATGGGTCCTTTCATCACGTCTCCATTCACATGGTACTCAAGGAACTCCTGGGTCAACTGGACAGTCTGGTTAGTCTCCCTGCGAATCCACAGAAGAGGAAAAATTATATTACTTACAAACACATTTTGTACATAACAGATGCAAAGTGGAACTACAACAGTAATGAGGCTGGGAATGTAAGAAAAAAAATCTGTTTCCTCAAAGCAAATAACTGATTTTACAAGATTTAGGAAATGAGGAGAATGAAAGTGCTTTCCATCAAGACATCTGTCAGCCTAAATAAATGGAGTTTCTATGTAATTTTATACTTTTGTAAAACAGCAACATCTACATTAGCTCATTGTTTTTGTGATCTCATCTAGGTGTTCCTGCTACAGCAGGGGGATTGGACTAGATGATCTTTCGAGGTCCTTTCCAATCCCTAACATTCTGTGATTCTGTGATTGTTTTGACATGACAGTTGCTACAGGATCAAAAACTACCCATTGCACAAAAATGAGGTGCATCACCCCGTATTAATGAATAATCAGGTTCATTTAACTGACTTCATAACTAGGTAAATCAGCATAATGCAAATTTCCATATTTTAACACTAGTATCATATATAATAGCAACAGGATAGCAAAATCTACATTCGCTCAGTACCTACTTTGTCTCCCCCTTTTTCCCCTGAAGCTTACAGTTTAGCTATTCATGACTTTGTATCACAGTCTTTGGGAAGTCATATGAAGGCAACTTAAGATGTTACTGCCCTCAGCTACCTGCTCTGGTCTTCTTTTGGAGCCTTGGTGGCAAAACAGGAAAAATCACTTAGTCTGGCATATAAATTTAAACTGCCAACCATTCCAGGTGGTGTTAATGCAGCAACTACAAACTGTAATGACTCAGGGGCAAAACATATCCAAGTCTTATCTACTACTCCTGTCACTGGGCATTTCCACTGCAGGGGCAGGACTTGGAAGTTCTAAGTGCTGCAGCTAAACTTCATAAGGTTTCACAGTTGAAGACTACAATTTTTTTTAACCTTTCTTCCCATTCTGACCTGATGCCTTGCTCTTTCCCATTATCCTAGAGCAAACTTCTTGAAACTGAAACAGTCTGGGCTTGCCTGAAGGCTTGTAAAGAAAGTGAATATCCCATTTCTCCTACACGCTGAATTCCAGCTCTTGCTGCCTGCCAGAACAAGATGAAGAAAAATGTAATTTCAATTCAGATTTTTGTTCTTCCTCATTATATTCCTCATGGAATCTGGAAACAGTTAGGATTCAGAGGCACTTTGAGAAAGCCTCCAGGGCTCTTAATTAAGACACACCTATACTTTTAAGGCTGATTTTAACTATACTGGACAAGAAGTTCTTGCTCTAAGAGGCAGAATTATGAACAAAACCACAAAGGTGAAAGAGGTCTAGTAGTCACTAGGCCAATGCCAAAGGGGTCAAATCTTCCATCAGTACATAGCTGACAATCTGAATCCTGAGCAGACAAAAAGCAGCACAGGTTCATTGAAGCTGAAGGAGTTGGGCAAATTTGCAACAGCTGAGAAAGACAATCTGCAAACCCCAAATCTCACCTTGATATTGATTGTTCTTCCATTTTATTTTCCTTATTAAGTAGAATTTCCTTAGTTAAGTGTTTCCTTTCAAAAAGTTCTGTAGTTTCCTACCTTAGAAACAGTGACACAGGACTTGCAAAACACTGATTATCAAGAGAAAGCTCTTGCTTTACCACTCAAGGCTCACTGTACAGCCATAGTGTATGGGCTTATTTATTTGTATTGGGTTTGTTGGCAAGGTTTTTTGGGGGGGGCTGGGGGAGGGGGTGTGGCATAAGGGTGGCTTCTGTGAGAAGCTGCC